AGGTAGGGAAGTTCTGCAACCCCATTTTATGGATGGGGAATTGATACACAAAGAGGCTAAGGTCCAGATCTTCAAAGCTATTTAGGCTCCCAACTTCAGTGGAAGTTAGGATACTAAATACCTCTGAAGAACTGGGCATAAATGACTTGCCCAAGATCACTGTTATGAATCAGGGACTTGAACCCAGGTCTCTAATCACTGGACTGACTAATCTCCTTATCTAATGTTGTTTTATCCCTTGTTGTGGGTTTTTGTCTCACACTGTATCCTATGTTTGGCCGTTGTTAAATTGAGAGTGATGTTTTCACAGACCTGGCTGGCTGACCCAGTCAAATGTGCCAGTAAAACAGTTATGTAGAATTGTATATAAAGGTTTAATGACACAAAACACTGTTTATTAGAAAGCTAATTGTGATAAAATTCATTAGATACAACATAGGGCTTCAAGTTTTGCATTGGGATCTTTGAGACTACATTTGCTTTATCCAGCAACTTAACTTCTTCTTAAACTTTGTGGGTAGGATACTGGAGATATGTAGAGTGCTGTTTTAACTTTGGAAGGAAACAATATCAGAAAATAGTGACTTACAGAAGCTCAGATGATGGTCTCTATTATTTCAGGTTGTGATTATGAATTCTGTTTCCTTATATTAATCATTAGGTTACATTGTTACCTGTTTTACATTACTTTACAAAATGACAACCACATCTGGGTGATTATGCTCTGTAAGTTTGTAATAATGGCACAAAGACAAATTTAAAGCTATACCCACTCTAAGAGCCTGCAGGGCTAGAACCTGGGACTAGGGGGCTTCTAGGCTGCTGCTGTCTCCACATCACCACTGGAGACTTAGGCTGGGTTCTTTTTGGAGGACCCTGTGAGGCTGGGCTTGGCACGAAGTACCGCCCAGCAGGATCTGAGTGGCGGCCCCTCAGAGCCCATTGATTGGCCAGTACAAGTACTTCAACCTGGAAGCCAGGAAGGGGAGTGGTCTGAATAACAACCTAGACTGCCTGCTTGCCTGCCTTTCCTTCAGACCGGGCTCGTGATGGACCCTAGACTCTGACTTTCGACCCTGGTTTGTCCTTGACTTTGCTCTTTGACTGCTGTCTGTAATCTGGTGCCTGACCCCGATCTCCTGGTAACTTGACCCTGCCTGCTTGCCTTCTGAGGCCTGACACTCAGTTTGCCCTCTGGCCTTTCTCAGACACTGACCTCCTGGTAACCTGGTCATGTCTGCCTCCTGATACCTGAACCTTTGTCTGTCCTCTACTGGTCTTGGACTCTGACCTCCCAGTACCTGACTTGGCCTGACTCTCTCAACTTCTGCTCTGACCACTAGATGTGACCACCCTCATTCTGGTTGTGACACCAACATTGACTTTTTTTTTTAAATCAGCAACTGAGTACCCAAAATAAAACGATGCTGAGGCAAAGCAGAGTTCATAGGTACAGCACATCTCTGCAAGGAAAAGCCCAGGTTTGATGCCTGCTTGTATTCCTTTTGGGTAATTTAACTGGTACAGGAAATATTTATGTAAAGTAATCAGGAGCAAAGAGCAACCCTGGCTCCTGCCCCACTGAAGCCAGAGCCAAAGATCCCATTGACTTCTTTGGGCCCAGAGTAGAGCTGCTAAAACCATTTCAAAATCTGACATTTTTCATTGAAATTATCAATTTCTGTCCTCCTCGGCTACCACCCTCTCCCTGGAAAAAAAAAGGAAAAAGAAAGAAACGTGGATAACATTTTCACAATTGTTTTTGCAGAATGTTGATCTTTTTTGCAACCAGCTGTAGCATAGAGCAAATGAAAGGCTCATGTGTGCCTTACAGGCTCTACTAGGAATGGTACAGTGCGATAGTCAACTCCACACCAGCAGAAGCTGCAGAAGGGGTTGGGTACCTCAGGGAGAGGGAACATAGCTATTGCTATAGCCATAAAGGAATGGAACATGCACTTCTTCCCATTGTTGACCAGATCTGTTGGCCATTGAGGAAGGAGAGTCTTCACTAAAAAGGTAAATTATGAGCCAGATACTTAACACAATTAATATTAACAGCAAGAGGGAAGAAACACATTCCAAAATAGTGAGAGAACAGATTAAAGAATATTTAGATAAGTTAGATGTATTCAAGTCATCAGGACTTGATAAAATTCATCCTAAGGTACTTAAGGAACTGAACTGTTAACAATTACCTTTGAGAACTTGTGGAGGATGGGTTAGGTCCCAGAGGACTGGAGAAGGGAAAACATAGTACCTATCTTTAAAAGGGGGAACAAAGAGGACCCAGGGAATTATAGATCAGTCAGCCTAACTTTTGATACCTGGAAAGATACTGGAACAAATTTATTTAAACAATCGGTTTGTAAGCATCTAGAGGATAATTGAAAGGTATGTAATAGCCAACATGGATTTGTTAAGAACAAATCATGCTAAACCAACCTCATTTCCTTCTTTGGTAGGGTTACTGGCTTAGTGGCTGGGGGGGAAGCTGTAGACATGATATATCTTGATCTTAGTAAGGCTTTTGACACAGTCCCACATGACATTCTCAGAAGCAAACTAGGAAAATGTGGTCTCGATGAAATTACTATCAGGTTGGTGCAAAAGTGGTTGAAAGACTACTCAAAGAATAGTTATCAATGGTTCACTGTCAAACTGGGTGGATGTATCTAGTGGGATCCTGAAGGGTCTGTCCTGGGTCCAGTATTGTTCAATATTTTCATTAATGACTTGGATAATGAAGTAGAGAGCATTCTTATAAAATTTGTGGATGACACCAAGCTGGAAGGAGTTGCAAGCTCTTTGGAGGACAGGATTAGAATTCAAAATGGCCTTAACAAATTGGATAATTGGTCTGAAATCAACCAGATGAAATTAAATAAAGACAAATACTACACTTCGGAAGAAAAGACTCTAATGTACAACTGAAAAAGGGGGAATAACTGGATAGGCAGTGGTACTGCTGAAGAGGATCAGGGGATTATAGTGGATCACAAACTGAATATGGGTCAACAGTGTGATGCAGTTGTGAAAAAGGTGCATAAACAGGAGTGATGGGTGAATTAACAGGAGTGGGGTATGTGAGACTTGGGAACTAATTGTTCTAATCTCCTTGGCACTGATGAGTCCTCATCCGGAGTACTGTGTCTACATTTGGGCGCAGCACTTTAAGAAAGAGGTAGACAAATTGGAAAGAGTCCGGAGGAGAGCAACAAAAACAACAAAAGGTTTAGAAAACCTGTCCTGTGAGGAAAGATCAAGAAAACTGGACATGTTTAGTGTTGAGAAAAGAAAGCAGAGGGGGGACCTGATAAGTCTGTGATGGGTTATATAAATCTCGCACTAAAACTGAAGGGGTTAAAGAGCAACCCTGGACCCAGATGACCCTGCCCAGCCACACCTGCAGCGCATGCTGCAGATGGAGGTGGAACTTGGAAGGGAAGTCAGACAATTCAGAAAGAGACTGACAAGGCAGGGAGAGGAGCCTGCCCTGATTGCTCCTGAGAAGGGATGCTGCAGAAGCCTCTCTTGGAAAAGAGACTCTACCTGCTGGGCCCAGACAGACTGAAGGTGCAGTTAGTACTTTTTTCTATTACCTTTTTGCTACAGACTGCAAAACTTGGACAATACAGTCGGTCGAAGGAAGTTGCCAAAGGAGGGGCGCTCCTGAGTACTGGACCTTTGATAACCTGACCTGAGCTCCCCTACCAACCCTGCTCCACACTAAAAAGGGATTGACCCCTAACCACTAGGCCACACTTCCAGCTACTGCCAGCATCACACTGTCTTCAACTAGGTTAAGGGTTGTTATAAAGTAGACAGTGATCAATTGTTTTCCATGTCCAGCAAAGTAGTAAGAAGGACAAGAAGTAATGGGCTTAATCTGCAGCAAGGGAGATCTAGGTTAGATATTAGGAAAAACTTACCAACTATAAGGATAGTTAAGCACTGGAATAGGCTTGCAAGGGAGGTTTTGGAATCTGCATCTTTGGAGGTTTTTAGACAAAGGTTAGCCAAAGACTTTTCAGGGATGATCTAGGTATACATGATCCTGCCTCACTGTGGGGGGCTGACCTCTTGAGGTCCCTTGCAGCCCTACATTTCTATGATTTTATAGCAGCTCATCCTCCCCCTTGTCCATTTTTGGGTTAGCTAGCACCACTAGCTAGCACCTTACACGGCCATTGCCTAGAGGAGACTTTGATCCCTTGTTTTGGGATGTTGAAGAAGTAGGCTCCTTGTCTCTTCTGACTCCATGTGCATCTTTGTAGGAGCTGGACACAGTGTAGTCCTAAATTAGAAAGGGTATTTGTTGAAGAAATTACTGTTCCACTTTGGTTATCCATGCAGGCAAACAGCTGAGATATTTTTTACTGAACACATCAGTATCTGAATTGTATAAGAAGTATGAACAGCTTTAACTTGCTTATTGCATTCTGGAAATGGAGGCCTGGAGCAGTCATAGACGGGCTTCAGGGATGTTAATTGTTTGTGTACATGAACGAGCTTATAAATGGTTGTTTTTGCAATCTTATTTTGCTCATTGAGGATAGCTATGTGAGTGCCAGAGAAAAGGAGGAAGAATGAATTATATTTTTTGTACCCACTCTATTAATGCTTTCAGGGCTTGATATAATATGCCTTTAACAAACCATGAACTTCTCTCCTACTGAGCCACTGCATCCTGCCTACATTCAAAGTAAGCAGGGAACCATTATACTAATCCACTGTACCATCGTATCTCTAGCAAACACATGTAAGTGATTGCTTTGAATATTTATTTTGATGCAAGGAGTGTTGAGTCTTTTATTTGGCAATGCATACAGCTAGGAGATTGACTTTCTCAACTTTGTTAAGAATGGTATAGCTATAGCGGTAACATTTGGCTTTGTGAGCCTAGAACACCCCAACAACCTCAGAGTGGTTCACCTCTGCAATTAGGATGGTTTAAAAACATGAAAGTGAACTGATTGTTTTGTTTTGTTTTTAATCAGGTGCGATTGTATGCAAGACCTGATGCAATCAGAAGAGGATCTGGGGACTATGCTCTAAATATTACAAGGAGACTCATTGAGTTTTATGAAGACTACTTTAAAGTGCCCTATTCCCTACCAAAATTAGGTAAGACTTTTCCGAGATCGCTGTTTGTCCAAGGGAACTCTATTCTAGAGATTAGAAAATAAGGTTGTTTTTACTGGTAGATTTCAATGTGAAGAATTTGGGGGTTAAGTTAGAAGGGACATTGAACAAGAAATTTTTAAATTCTTCTAAAGAGAAGAAGCCAATTTTTCACCTCTTCCTCATCTTGCCTTTAGGTGCAGCTACTAAACAACAATTGAATCTATTAGGCATTGAGACTCTAGAGAATAGAAGCTTTGCTAATGAGTTCCTGCTTTCCTGATGCTCAGCATGTTGGGCCTCACTATCATTAGATAGCCCTCGGGTTATGTTTATTCAGTCATATGTACATCTTGATTGCTCAGCTGCAGAAGGGGAATAGAATTGAAAATAACAGTGGAAATGGGAAATTTACAACATTTAAAGAAAATATTTGTTGATTAGTGTAGGTTCTTAATGATGATTAATATATGCTTGACAATATTGCTGCTTATTGAAGAGAATTGTTGTGAGCTTATTTTACTGTTCAAGTGACCCAATTGTAAATGCTATCAATTTTTTTTCACATTTTCCTTCCCTTCCCTTCCCCCCACCTCTCTCACTCCCTTGAATATTTCACACTATATTATTACATACTCCCTCCTTAAGAGTACGTTTGATCAGGATCCAGAAAAATTTATTGCTCAGCAACAAGAAGAAAGCTTGTATTTGATCTGAAGTGTTAGAGTTTGAACCACAGGTGTTCGTTCCAGGAGCTCAGGCCCTATTTCATTAAAGCACAAGCCTGCTGGGTAGCTTTATTAGTCTTACAACTAATGGTGTAATAGATAGATAAAATAATTAGTATTGTTTGAAGTGGGTGTTGCATGCATTTTAAATAAGAATGATGTGACTTTTTTGTCCTTTTTAAATGATGGGTTGCAAGCAGTGCTCTGTTAGAGGCATGGATGCTTATAACCATGGAACGCTCCTCAAACTGCAGGTTACTGTTTGTATGTACTTTCATACCTGACTTTAGTATTGCCCACCCAAGGAATTGTGGCACTAAGGTCTGATATAAATATTTTTGTGGGACATTGCTCAACCTCAGCTGGAGTAGTCAGAAACTTCTCCACATGACATGATAATGAATAAATCATGATTGCTTGACACTGGAAGTTCCAGACTCACTGGTGCCAAGTCGTTAAAAGAAAAAATGGATATCTTTCTTCCCTTTGAAAATTTATAATTAGCAAAGAGACTCAGATTATTATTTTAGGTAGTTAAAAATCTGGAAATAGTAGGTAGAGAATGTGTCTACTTCTGTGCATCTTTAACAATTAAAACGTATAGCCTTTCATCTCAGTATGTTTTGCTTGTTGTTGTTGCTACACAGTGGCATATTGTGTTAAAATACTTCAGAGGATTGAATGCCTTCCAAGTTAGTCTATTTATGGGATTACACTATAAAATACTATAGTGAATTTGTAGTTTTTCTACTATAAATTATATTAAAATTTAATTTTAAAATTTAATACTATTAGGTTTGTCATGTATGAAGACTTTGTTATGATGTAGTAATGCTATAGAAACTATAATAAGATGAGTTTATAGGATGAAAAACATAAAAGTATCGTACATACCGCCTATAATGTACAGTTTGTTTAGTATAAGTATGCTGGGGAAAATGTCAAAAGTGCCTTTGTGACTTACAAAGGTAAGTCTCATTGGTTTGGATTCCTAAGTCACTTTGGCATTTTTGAAATGTTGCCCACTATGTGTCTTCCAGTTCAGCAAAGTTGTTAAGCAGGTGCTTAACTTTAAACATGTGGGTAATGCCATTGATTTCAGATGAAAAAGGCTGCTGCCTTTTGAAAATTTGAGGAAGGATGGGAATAAAAATGTGTGAATTGGAGCTCAACAGGAACCCTAGGGCAGGAACCCCTAGCATGTCTTCACTAGCAACGTTAAAGTGCTGCCGTGGCAGCGCTTTAACTTGGCTGTGTAGTCGCAGCAGCTCTCCCAGGGCTATAAAAAACCCACCTCCACGAGGGGAGTAGCTGCCAGCGCTGTCTACACTGGCACTTTACAGTGCTGAAACTTGAAGTGCTCAGGGGGGTGTTTTTTCACACCCCTGAGTGAGAAAGTTGCAGTGCTGTAAAGTATCAGTGTAGACAGGGCCGGCTCCAAGCACCAGCAGGTGCTTGGGGCGGCCACTCCGGAGCGGGGCGGCACGTCCAGCTATTTGGTGGCAATTCGGCGGATGGTCCCTCACTCCCGCTCGGAGCGAAGGACCTCCCGCCGAATTGCCGCCG